TATATATATATATATATATATATATATATATATATATATATGTGTGTGTGTGTGTGTGTGTGTGTGTGTGTGTGTGTGTGTGTGTGTGTGTGTGTGTGTGTATAATATTATATATATATATATATATATATATATATATATATATATATATATATATATATATATTTATATATATTCATATATATATATATATATATATATATATATATATATATATATATATATATATATATATATACATATAAATGTAGATGTGTGTATATGTGTATGTGTGTGTGCGTGTAAATATGAGTGTGTGTATGTGTGTGTGTATATATATAGATAGATAGATAGATAGATAGATAAAGTTAGCTTAACTGTAAAGTTAAGCTACATTTGTAATAAATAACTGTTGTGTTTATCTGGACACCCCAAGATCAACAATTCCGAGTGATAGTGGAAATGTTTGGTAAGAATTTCTTTCTTTAGTTATTCAAAAACATTTTAGTGGCACTGTTAAACACAAAGTTGAAAAAAAACATAAAATTTGAGTTACATATGTTTGATTGTCTTTTTGTCAACATGGAGGTAGGTGGCATTGGGAAAAAATGAACCCGACATATGGTGACCATTTGTTCTTTTTTTATCAAATTTTCTTGCCAATTTTGACGAAACTTGCACTCTTTTATTGAGACCTTGGCCTGATCTCTGAGTAAAAATAAATGAATAAATAAAAGAATGAATAAAAAGTTTGAAAATTGACAAAAGGGCAAAAACTATATCAATTCCAGAAGAAATTATACATGCATTCTGTTGTAATTATTGAACAGATTAATTCTAATTCCAGTGCTTATTCGAAGTTCTCTTTTCGATTTTGACTGTTTTCTTGTGAATATTTGCTGGAACCGACTTTATAGAGACAAAAAGTGTGTGTTTTTTTACATAAAATTCGTTTTCACACGCAGCACAAAAAAAAAAGTTCTCTTTTCGATTTTGACTTTTGCAAAAACAAAATGGAACAAGCACTAAATTTGTTATTCAGCTACAAAATGAGCCATAAAACGGACTGAAATTGCGTGGCTGCAGCTTTCGTGGCTACAAAGGTAGTGTTTTGAGGTATCAGCAGTTGTCGTTTTTTACATTTTCATAATTGTTTTGGTAATAAAATTAGGTATAAGAATAAACTTCCTACATTATAATCCTCTATCACTTATCTGCATTCCAAAGTCTTGCGGAAATTCGTAGCAAGTAACAGCATCTCACCAAGCAACATTTGTTATAGTTGGGTCACTTCGATCATTTTCGGAAATTTCTATAAAAAAAAAATAATAATAATAATAAAATCTGATTTAATTTTTGAACAGAAAAACCCATTGTCCAGTGCTTGTATCTGGCACTTTTTCGATTGACTTTGTTTTTGGTTTGTGAATATTTTTTTTTAGACAATTTTTCAAACACCATAGAAAGTACTTTTCTTCTGTATTTCACTCTTACAAGTAATGTATTGAAATTGTAATATTTT